TTTCAATTTTTTAATAACTTTCAATGTTAATGGCCTCAATTCACCAATCAAAAGAAATAGACTGGCAGAATGGATTAAGAAGCAAAATCCAGCAATATGGTGTATACAAGAAACACACCTAACTCAAAAAGAAATTCATAGACTGAAAGTAAATGGGTGGAAATCAGTTCCCATGTGACAGGAACCCAGAAAAAAGTAGGTGTAGCAATCTTATTTGCAGACAAAGTAGATTTCAAGCCAAAACTTATTAAGAGAGACAAAGATAGTCATTACATCCTTGTGAAGGGAACAATCCAAAAGGAAGAGATGACAATCCTAAATATTTGTACACCAAATAAGAATGCCCCAATTATACAAAACAAATATTAAAGGGCATGAAAAACCAAATAAGCACTAATACAATTGTAGTGGGGGACCTCAATACCCCACTATCACAAACAGACATATCATCTAGACAAATAATTAACAAAGAAATTCTACAACAGAATCAAGCTATTGAACCAATGGACTTAATAGATATTTATAGAGTGTTCCATCCCACAAAATCAGAATGTACATTCTTTTCAGCTGTACATGGGTCATTCTTCAAAATAGACCACATGCTAGCTCATAGGACATGTCTAAGTAAATGTAAAAGAATTGAAATTATCCCCTGTATTATCAGACCATAGTGCAATAAAATTGGAGATCAATAACATAAGAAACCTCAAAACTCCCACAAACACATGGATATCGAATGACAACCTCCTGAACAACCAATGTGTCACAGAGGAAATTAAAGAAGAAGTTAGACAGTTTTCACATGTGAATGATAATGCCAGTACAGCATACAGGAATCTATGGGACAAAATGAAAGCAGTTCTACCTGGGAAATTCATAGCAGTGAATGCCCATATTAGGAAAACAGAGAGAACTCAGATAAATAACCTAATGCAGAAACTCAACGTCCTAGAAAAAGAAGAGCACAAAAACCCAAAGCTCATAAAAGAGAGGAAATTATAAGGATCAGAGCAGAAATCATTGTAATGGAGACTAAGAGAATGATACAGAAAATTAATGAATCAAAGAGTTAGATTTTCAAAAGAATAAATAAAATCGATAAACCTTTAGACAACTTTATCCAAAAAATGAAAGAAAAGGCTCAAATCCATGCAATTAAGAATGAAAAAGGTGAAGTCACTACAGACCCAGCAGAAATGCAGAAGATCATCTATACCTACTTCAAGAACCTGTACTCAAATAAAATGGAAAACACAGAAGAAATGGACAGACTCCTGGATACATATGAATTGCCCAAGTTAAATGAAGATAATATAGAAATTCTAAACACCCCAATTACAATGAGTGAAACTGAAAATGTAATAAAAATTCACCAACAAAGAAAAGCCCAGGTTCTGATGGCTTCACTGCTGAATTCTACAAAACATTTAACGAAGAACAATTGCCATGACTCTTTAAACTCATCAAGGAAATTGAAAGGGAAGCAATGCTTCCAAATTCATTCCTGGAAGCAAGTGTTACTTTGATTCCTAAACCAGGGAAAGACCCAAACCAAAAAGAGAACTACAGGCCAATCTCCCTAATGAACATAGACGCAAAAATCCTCAATAAGATACTGGCAAACAGAATACAGAGGGTCATCAAGAAGATCATACACCTTGACCAAGTTGGATTTATCCCAGGGATGCAAAGATGGTTCAATATTTGTAAATCAATAAATGTAATACACTATATTAACATAGTCAAGGACAAAAACCATATGATCATCTCAATAGATGCGGAAAAGGCATTCAACAAAATCCAACTCCCATTTATGATAAAAATTCTACAGAAAATTGGAATAGAAGGTCTTTATCTCAACCTGATTAAGGCTATCTATGAAAAACCAACAGCCAACACATACTAAATGATCAAAAACTTAAAACATTCATGCTAAAATCAGGAACAAGGCAAGGATGCCCACTATCACCACTCCCATTCAATATAGTTCTGGGAACATTAGCCACAGCAATTAGAAAAGAAAAAAATAAAAATAATAAAGGTAGGAAAGGAAGAAATTAAACTGTCATTATTTGCTGATGATATGATACTTTACACAGAACATCCAAAAACCTCAGCCAAAAGACTTCTAGACTTAATTTACAGATTGGGAACTGTAGCTGGATACAAGGTCAACACTCAAAAAAC